ATGATGCTAGGTGTAGTACACTTTCCCGTATGACCATGTCTCGGACAAATTGTAGAAATTTTGTGTGAAAGATGGTGAATTCGCATATGCTCTTTATGTAGTGGTGGTTCAATGCTATGATTCTGCTTTAAAATGTGCACGCTTACACGGATTTTGAACCAAATTATCAAGATTATATATCTTGCTTCCATGCCTTCAGAAGTCATATTTGTCCACAGGTTTAGATGAAGCATTATTATCCATACAGAAAAATGTTGAAACCCTAGTTGATCAAATAAATTCACTACCCTAACTATTGACACTGCTAGTTTGCCATAATATGAAATCATTCCACACTGCCACTTACCTTATACCAAGTTGCATCAACCTGCTAATAAAGCATGGTTAATACCAAGTGCGTCTACCTATTAATAAAACATGCAACCTGTTACAGAAAAAATAGAAAAGGCTGGAAAGCATTTAGGTTTGAGAGTTTCTTGGAAAACTTTTGAAGAGAAACTGTTGAGAGGCATGTCCACCAACACTGTAATGTATCCAGAAATGGAGTAATTTACACAATCATGGAGAGAGGCGTATAATTACTTTCTAGCCCAATCTTAGAGGAAACATCCAACAACTAATCTTAATTGCTAAAGATGTTTAGATAAACTACATTGATGTTAACTGAGAAAAAAATTGCAGCTTAATGTTGAAATTCATTTGCATACACCACTTCCGTATACCAAAAACAATTAGGGGTTGTCTAGGACACATCTAGATGTGACATAGTTATGTCACATCTAAACCGATGTCCACTCTGTTTGTGGTCTTTTTTGGTCCTAATTTTTTTTTGTTTCTTGTTGCTGCATTATATATTTATGAAAGCTTAGATGTGACATCCTTAAAAAACATCTAGATGTGAATTAGACAAACTGAAACAATTAATATGAACCATCATCCTAGCTCCCTGTCTCTCCCACAAACAATAATTGACAAAGAGAAAACAAAATAGGATTTCAAAGGGATGTTGCCCCAATCTGTGGACTCGTCAGGACCGAATTGCCCGGACAGAAACGCGCACCACCTATCATAATAGAGCATTACCACAGCACATCCCACCCGGCAAAACACAGAAAAAAACAGAAGAAAGTTTCTAGGAAGCCTACTCCTTTAAACTCTGAAGTCGTCGCCTTCGCTTGTCTTCTACTCCTAAATTCCTCCTGCACTGCATAAACCCCGCACGCAACCAACCATCAATGTCCAATGACTCTTTTCTTTCTACACTTTCTTCTAAGTAATGGCAGCTAGTAACAGAGAGACATCAGATCGGGCCGGGACGGAAGAAGGAAATCAGGCGGCAACCAGGGCTTGGAGGAGGCGATGGCAGTGGCAGGACGGCGATGGGGATGGGGAGCTCTTCGATGGGCACTCGATTGGGCTGACCGGGGATTGGAAGCCGACGGTAACAGCATCGTGGATGCACCAGTAGAACGCCGGCTCACCGCATGCCTGTCGTAGTCGCAACCTCACAGTCAGGACAGGGCTTCAAGCACGGCGCAAAGACCACCGTGCTTCTCTCCCTCGTCCTCCTCTATGTCTCCGTGGCAATCAGCTCCGGCGCTTCGCCACCGTCACTGCGGATCCACTATTTCGATCCAGACAACATCATCGCGGACATCGCATTCCACACAACATCACCGCAGACATCATCGTCGTTGCTTGACGACACCGTCTGCGACGTGCCATGGCCGTCGAGGCGCCACATCATGCTCAACCTTACGGCAAGAGACGACCCGCGGGCAGAGTGACCCGTCCACGCTGGCGTCCTTCACCGTGTTGCTGTGTGGCTCTGGTTTTTGCCGGACGCTGCCCGGCGGATCCTCCGGCTACGCCATCTCCGGCCCTACCGGGACCAGATGTCGTACATCGACGAATCGTACACCCAGGGGTGTGCTTGCTTTGGAGATGCTCATCTTCGGGGACAACACACCAGTGCAGGGCGTCCGTATCGGCTGCGTCCACCGCAAGCGCGGCCTGTTCATCGGAGCGTCTAGGTTGCTCGGCTTGGGCTGGGGCCCCATGTCCCTCGTCTTGGCGGTATGTTGAGCTACTGTCTCGCGAGCCGATACGCCGACTCGGGTGCCAGGTGTCGTATGCTCAGCAGTGCCGATGCCATGCCGGTAGTCGCAATTTGCCCTACTCCCGGTACTCCACAACGTGCAGGCGCCGAGTTTCTAGCCCGTGGTCACCGTTTCCCCTACTCCGTTGTGTGCAGGCGCCGAGTTTCTACAATGTTGCCCTGACGGGGCTGGTCTCGGCGGCGACAGGCTCCCAAGAGTTTCTACTATGCCAGCCTTACGGGGCTGGGCATCGGTGGCGAGAGGTTCTGGATGGCAAGGAGCACGGGGATCCCCATATTTATAGGCCAAGGACCAGGAAGGCACGATCCTCCGAGACGTCGAGAAGGCACGACCAAGGATCAGGCTAGAAGGTGCGATTATTCACCAAGACGTCGAGAAGGTACGGCCGAATACGAAAGAAGCAACACGTATCAAGCGGCAAGGATAACACGTCTACAATGCCTTACCACCTGACGACACCCATGCATTGCAAACACAGGTAAAAAAATGGCAAACTACCTACACCAGCCAGTCACCGAGATATATGCACGGGATTAGTCACCACATGCAACGAAATTAAAAATAAAAAATCGCAACCGCCTACATGCACGCACGTAGTGAGATCTACAACCGAAAACATTTATATCTGTGAAGGGAGGAGCTAATAAAATCAGATCGTTTGAAGAGGAAGAAGTGGGCAAGACGAACCGACCGGTCGACCAGCACTATCCCGGTCGTGGATAAACTTTGTGGAAGCTAGTTGGTGGGCAGTGGTACAGACAAAACTGGTGCTCTCTGTTCTTCGGCAGCATCTCCGCCTACTGTCGTTGTTACCAACCAGCCGGCAGTCTCCATCCACAAGCTCTAAAGAAAGAAACGGGCAACCAGAAAGCCTTCCAAGTGACGGGAGAGGAGCAGAGGGCGGCGCAAGCCATGGCCACGGTGGAGCAGCAGCAGCAGATCGAGCACAGCCACCTCGCCATCAGAGGCCTCAGCCTCCACGTAGCGCAAGCAGGCACAGGTCAGCGCCCCCTCCCTCCCTCCCTCCCTCGACCACGCCCGCGGCAGGCCGGCCAATGTGAGTGGTGACCGTTGTCTGCTTGCAGGCGAGCTCGGGACGGTGCTGTTCCTGCACGGCTTCCCGGAGATATGGTACTCGTGGCGCCACCAGATGCTGGCCGTGGCCGCCGCCGGGTACCGCGCCATCGCGCCGGACTGGCGGGGGTATGGCCTCTCCGACCAGCCACCGGAGCCGGAGGCGGCGGCCTACAGCGACCTGACAGAGGATCTCCTCGCCGTCCTGGATGCGCTCTCCGTCCCCAAGGTGCCCTCTGGCCCTGAATTTTTGGACATTTTGGGGGTATTAGTGTGTCCGGATCAGGGATCAGTTCTAGATTGGGGGGAAAAGGGAATTCTTGGTTGTTGTTTGTCTCTTAAAATCAGCGTGGGATGGCGGTCGTGCAGAGTTACTAACATGGCCAGTCACTGTGAGTTCTACTAGTCCAGGTTCACGTGGGAGAAAAATTCAGATGGAACTAGATATTTGAAGCAATTGAGATTGATTGCTTAAATATGTAAGAAATTTGCAGAAATTTATGGAGGTTTTAAACAGGAAATCATGGTAGAGTTGGTGTAGTTACAAACACATAACCATTTCTTCTTCCTCGGGCAACCACTCGAGTCTATTACTGTACTATATTTCCAGAATTCATGTGTACCTATGAAAACAGGTATATTGTTCTTCTGAAACAGGTCTAATGTTTCATCAACACAATTAGAATTTTTTTCATAGCGTGCTTAAAAGTACTCTCTCGCACTTTTAAGAGGCACATTTGTCACAGTTCTGTTGTTTCATTTGTTCATCTAGAGTATCAAACAAAGATTGGTATCAGTTCCATCGAGTTGATGTGTTTTAAGCTGGCACTCAATGGGATATAGGCAGCACCGAGAGTAAAACATGCCCTTCTGGTCGACATTGATCATTATTTAAGCATACAAAATAAGATAATTCCCTCACTAAAAACAGTGTTATTCTTCAACGTTCTCGTCTGATGACTTCCATTTTGCTTCACATCAGGCTTACCTTGTGGCAAAGGATTTCGGAGCCATGCTAGCTTATGATTTTGCTCTTCGTCACCCCAGCCGCACATGCGGCGTTATGTGTTTGGGCATCCCATTTCTTCACGGTGGCTCCTCCTTCACTGCCATGCCCGAAGGCTTCTATATACTGCGTTGGCGGGTTTTTACCCTAACCTGAAAGTCCCATGTCAAAGCACATGACTAGAGAGTTCTTCTCATGATATGATACAAAAAGCTTGTGCTTTGCAGGAACCAGGAAGAGCAGAGGCAGACTTTGGCAGGTATGACGTCAAGCGAGTCGTGCGCACCATCTACATTCTCTTCTCTAGAAGCGAAATCCCGATAGCGAAGGAAGATCAAGAAATCATGGATCTCGCGGACCTGTCGACTCCCCTTCCAGAGTGGTTCACTGAGGAGGATCTTGCAATCTACACGTCCCTCTATGAGAAGTCTGGTTTCGTGTATCCACTGCAGATGCCATACAGGTAAACGCAGCGATTACTAATTTCCATTCTCTTAAAGGTGCCTTAGATTATGTGCCAAAAATTGTGGTGACTCAATAGTTTGTGGTATTAGGTTCATCAAGTATTGACAGATATTATTACATGTGTGCTGCAACGCTTGACAGGTCTCTCCATAAGAGGCAACCAATTGAAGACCCAAAATTCGAAGTCCCGGTGTTCGTCGCCATGGGGGAGAAAGACTACGTGATCAAGTTCCCCGGGGTCGAGGCCGTGTTGAAAAATGGCACCATGGAGAAGTTTGCGCCGGATCTGAAGATCACCTACATCCCTGAAGGAAGCCATTTCGTTCAGGAGCAGTTCCCGGACAAGGTCAATGAGTTCCTCCTTGGCTTCTTGAAGGACCATCCTGTGGCTTGACAATACGGTCTACTGCTATGCTTGGCCTGCACTCGGTTTCATAAGCACGTACATATTCTGCAATGCTGTGAACATATATTATCCGTGCTTCCAGTGATGGATATGCTAGTTTTATCAGCAATAATAAATATATAATGATCCGTGTTGTCCTCTAATCCTTTAGAACGCCAGTGTTTAGTGTCTCATGGAATCGTGTATTTCGCCCAAAATCTATCTGGATTTCAGTTGGAACTCCCAGGATTCGAATCGAAGATCGTCTCTAGCTTGGTAGGACATAATGTAACGAAGGCACATGCCGCAAGGGGTGAATCATGCTAGTTTCACCAATCGTGCTACTGTTTTAACAACTCCAATGTTCATTTGTGGCGACTTTGATGATCTCAAGATGATGTGTCAGTTCAGTCTCTGGGAGGTGCTTCTAGGAGTAGGGTGCGTGTTCTTACAATTGAGTATATGAGCGTCTGCGTTTGTGTTAAAAAAAAGTGTAAGATTAGGGTGAATACCCACGAGAAGTGAATTGCAGACATTTTGACCCTTTATATGCATGCAAACTTCAGTCCTGAAACAATTGTACCTATTTCGTTTCATAGGCGACTCCAGGTAGGCTAGTAGCGAATTCCATGCAACATGGAAGTGTCCATGGCGCACGAGTGCACGACGATTGGGAACAACACACCAGCGGATCAGCTGCTTAAGTGGCAGTTTACATCATTCATTCGTGCGAAATCAATCAATCAATAGGCAAACTGAAACTACCAACATACAGACAATGCATGTTAGATCATTCAGACCAGGCTATAAGAGTTGAAGAATACTCCCTCCGTTCCTAAATATAAGTCTTTTTAGAGATTCCACTATGAACTACATACGAATCTATATAGACATATTTTAGAATGTAGATTCACTCATTTTACTCCATATATAGTCTCTTATTGGAATATCTAAAAAGATTTACATTTCGGAACGGAGGGAGTATATTTTTAGCAGAAGAGTCGGAACAAATATAATGCATCAGGTAACAAACAGATCACTTGATGAATGCATTTCAAACATTAAAATCTTGTAACATACCAGAATACAGAATTACAAGCGCATTACTGGGTTGACCATCAACTCTTTAGAGCTACAACAAGGCAAGTCGCTTTGGGTACATGCACTCCTATCACCAAAAGCCAGCTGAACCAATGTCATGACAGCCCACCAAGATGTGGGTGGGGATGGGAAACCCATGTGATGAGGAGGACTTAAATTTTTTCTATGCATCCACCACTATCACCATTGGCAACGGTGCGAAGACCCCCTTTTGGGACTCACCTTGGCTCCTTGGGCGCAAGCCAAAAGACATTGCCCCGCTTACTCATGAAGCGTCAAAGAGAAAAAAATGGAAGGTGCGGGAGGCCCTCTCACACAATGCATGGATCCACAAGATCAAACCCCCCACCAACATCTCCGTGGAGCACATAACGCAGTTCTTCACTCTTTGGGCGCTTTTGCACGAGGTCCAACTTGATGAACTCACCGAGGATGACATTGTATGGAAGCACACGGCTAGTGGGACCTACTCGGCGGCATCTGCTTACAAGGCGCAATTCCTAGGGATGGTTCTCACACCTTTGGATAAAATGGTTTGGAAGGCTTGGGCCCCCTCAAAAGTCAAGTTCTTCGCTTGGCTGGCGTTGCAAGACAGAATTTGGACCGCCGATAGATTGGCCAAACGCGGGTGGCCCAACTGTGATCTCTGCCCTCTTTGCAAGAGAGTGCAGGAATGTGGGTCTCATCTCTTCTTCAAATGCCGCTACACACGAAGGCTTTGGTCCTTGATCATTGACAAATACCACATTCACGGTCTTGACACCAATGGTTGGCCCCTCTTCGACTCGGTTGAGGCTTGGTGGGCAAGTACTTGTGACAATGGCACGCCAAACCGCCAAGCCAAGGCGTCCCTCACCATGCTTGTTACGTGGACCGTCTGGAATGAGCGAAACGCAAGGGTCTTCAAGCACAAGAGCGCCCCTCCACCTACATTGCTTGACTCCATCGATTCTGAGGCTAACCTTTGGGTCATCGCCGGTGCAAAAAAATTAGGGTCTCTTATTTTGCGAGAGTGATCTCATGCCGTGTATTATGTGACTTGTAACAAACTCTTTTCTCTCTTAATTAATGGATGAGGCAAAGCTTTTGCCTTCGTTTCAAAAAAAATGTCATGACAGCAGGGGGGTTCCACAAGTCTTGCAGTGCACATCTGAGATCACCAGCTCGCTCAACGACTTGCAAACTGAAATCAGTATCAACACCGCTTGCTTGGCATAAATGATTGATTTTGGGGTCTCCACCAGATATTGGTCGGGGGCTTAGGGCATCATGAATAAACTACTTCAAGCATTTATCTGGCGCCCCGTCAACTATAACTCGTCAGCCCTATATTTGGATGACCTGCATAAGGGAAGCCGTATAAGGTAAGGCAAGATGGCAGCAAAACGCAAGGGAATAAACACGCACATTGTGCTCTTGTGACTTTGCAAACAATAGACTTGCAGGAAATACAATCAGCTGTTGAAAATTGATAATGAGGCACTACATTTTAGACTCTAGACAGTCTGATGGGCATCTTATATACTCCCTCCGTCCCAAAATAAGTGACTCAACTTTGTACTAATATTTTGGGAATAAGTGACTCAACTTTGTAGTAATATTTTGGGACGGAGGGAGTACTTCCCATCAACAAAAACACTAGGTTTGGCATATATCAGTTCTTAAGTCTGCTTCTGAGGCATTACTGCAGTTAGAAACTGGGAATACAGGAGCGTAACAGTAGGCTACACATGTGCTGTCACATGTGAACCCATTCATATCATGTTCATTCCAGCAACCAGAAAACATACATCCTTCTTAACCACGGACCAAAAAGATATTTCATCTTGAGCAATTTCAAGCAACAAAATTAATGTCCATGCTCACTATTTTGATTTTCCGTTGGAGAAAACACGGGCTCACAAATTACAAGTGTTGTTGGGTGATTAATTATCAGCTCCAAACAAATTCGTTGGGAGCAGATCTATGATTCAGTTTTACTGAACTTATCAGCTCTATGATCCAGCGATAGAACCGCTGCCACCGCATGTAGTCACCGTCGCCGTCCCATTCGCTGCTCAATCACTCGGCCAGCTCACCTCCCAGCGGCAAGCAAGATCGAGCATTTAACCTCCTATATCTGATTTGATTTTTCGAGTGGGTCAAAATTCATAACTGGCGAATCGCCAACAGAAGTAGTATTCCAGGATAATGTACATGAACAAATTATGTGCTTCTAAAGTTATTGCAAGGATCTATTTTGGAATCAGATTATTTCAAAGGAAACTTTAATTATTGGATAGTCCTGTGTATTCACTCGCTACAGACAATCCTTGTTGAGTTTCCTACAGATTCATGAGGGTTTCGGAATGGTCGCCGTACATGAACCAAAGCGAGCAGCAACAAAAATGCATTTGCATCCCAACTATTAGCCTACAACGCTTGCATGATATATGATCAGTTTGACATATACTAGCCATTTGTCACCAATAACATGAACACCATACCATGGATATTAGAAGACTTAGTGATGCATACATTCATATGTTGAAGCATTACATAGCAGTTACCATGCACATAGATCGAGTAATGTTCTCTTGCTTTTTCAGGAATCCATCAAAGTTGCAAGGTTGTGCGTTTTCGCTCAGAATTTATCCTGGAGATGCAAGGATACGGGTGAACTGCATATAGAAGTGTACTTTTTTAAGCAGAACTGTAATGTTCACAAACTACACTTAACTGCACCAGGATGATTAAAAAATGTTAAATAAACGTTTACCTTGACAACTTTATACTAATCTATACCATATTTTAATGGACCAGGACCAATCAAAACAAAGATAACAGGAATTGTTCATCCTCACACAACTAGAGCACAATCCATTTACTTTTACTGGAAGTTAATAATACACTGAGCTTCCCTATCCATACACTTTCGAAAAAGAAAGGCAGATTATTCAACACTGAACAAAGATAAAGACATTGTGAAGTAAATTAACCGCCCTCATTTCTATCTGATTCAATTTTTGGTGTCCGATTGTATAACGATAATGCTATTTTGTTTGCACTGGCTAAAGCTTGGCGATCCCAGAAAGGACAAAAGGTGATGGCTGGACAAATGCTCTGTACCTATAGGACTGATATGGACTTCTTTTGCACTACTCCATCCATAAAGAAATATATGAGTGTTTAGATCACTAAACAGAGGGAGTACTAGATAAAATTATGCATTCTGTATCATTTATGAATGCTAACTCTGAGTAGGAAGATTGCGATATGATAGTTCCCAGTACATCTATGACCAATATTTAGGACGAAAAAGAGTGCTACAGACAGATCATGGTAGCATGTGACTATGCGAGGCATACATCTTAAGACAGATCATCTTAGCAGTTTAACTGTGCAACAAAGGGCGCTAACATCTTATGGGGTGATACAGCATTACTCCACGCATGAAATAAATAACAGAAAAAGAAAAAAGAATCCACCAAGCGGGCAACCAACAAAGAGACACTACAAAGAAAACGGCATAACAAGGTGCGTATCTACTTCTAGTTAAGAGAATGCTTACTTGGAAGTTGGAACTCAAACAAAACCTTATAAAGTGCTAAAAAAATATTTCATCTGAAGTACAATTTCTAGCTGAATAATAGTGAATAGACACACAACAAGAAGTAGCTACATGATGCATCAGAAGCTTCAGAGCATGAGAATACAATGAGGCAAATTTATATTTATTGGAACAGAAAAATACCTTATCGAAACAGTAAAAACTAGGGTTCTGCAGCATTGGGGTTTTCTTCTGCACCAAGAGCCAGAACGACTTTTCTCAGGATGGCATCAACTGGCTGATGTGAGTTCTCAACGGCCTTGCTTATAGCTTGCCATCTCTCGCCATGTTTTGGTTCGGCTGCAATGCATCGTTTCAG